TTATATATTTATACAGTATATATACCTTCGGACAAAGTAACGCGTTTGCTGCGTTGCGACAGTCGAATGGGCGATTCTAGATCGGCCGATCGTATTTTATTAGTCGTGTACCAAAGCTTCTGTTGGTTTCTCTAGAGAATATGCAGAAGGTAGTGAGTCTGTAAGAACAGTCGGGACACTCTGACATTCTCAGACGTTTGCCAAAGATCAGAATTATCTTCGAAGCAATTCGACTGAACGCTTATTAAAATTCTATACTGATTTCAACCGTTGACAATGGAGAGATTCATTTTCCTCGGTGTACTCCCAATGAACCGACTGCGCTTACCGCATCTGAGTTTCTAGATTAATTTCTTAGATGTTAAAACAACGCCGAAACCGTGATCATTCAAGAGCCAAAAGAATAGGGAGGACGTTTCGTTCTGCTCGGTCCGAGTGCCTCGCAGTTCGTTTGAGCGAAGGGTAAGGGTAGCTCGAGACACGATGTCAAGCCAAAAAGGATTCTAACGTTCGCTTCGAACACGAAATTAACATCGCGATTACGAATCGATTGTAAAACGTTCAAATTTATTTATTCCTCGAGGTAGAATTTCAATGGGAAACACGTTTGCCTTCGGTTCTCGGGAAATGGAAGCAAACAGTATCGCAATGAATCGAGATTACGGAGAGCTGCAATCGATCGAAGGGCAAATATCAGACTCGCAGGTTTGCTTCTGATTAATCGGTAATTAAAGAAAGTCGTAAAATTGTCTTTCGTAGACGGCGGCTGCGTTTATAAACGTTCCACTCGTCGCCGACGTTTCTAATTAAATTCTTCTTGGCTTCATTAGCGACACAGCTTGTGGCAACAGAACGAGGGTCCTTCCGGTGATTGGAAACGTATTCAATTTTCGAGCAGTCAAGTTTTTTTTTCATTTCCTTCCCCGAATATCTCTTTCTCTTTCTCCTTCCCGTCAACCGTCCATTCTCTTATTTTCCGCCTTTTTTTCATTTCCAATCGAGGCTCAACGTTGTTTGTAATAGGTTTTATCGTTCATTTATTCCCACGAGTTTTTAGATGTAGGCCAGTATCGTTCATTGGATACTTCTCCGCTTGCTCACGCCGACTCGATGATATTTTAACCCCGATGATCTTTCGCCACGCCGCCGAGCAGGCCGGTGGTCCCTCTTTTGTTATTCCCTTTATCCAGTGACAATATTGTTTCACCGTGACGCCGCCGCTGACGTCCGGTTAATCTTCCCTTTTACAGCTTCCGGTCCGAGGAAGTTCGTGGAAGGCAGATTAACGCGAAAATAGACGGAATCGGAACTCGCCGAGCAAACGAATCGTTCCATGCAAGACAGAATTATAAAATGGTTTATTCAGATACCAATAACAAAGGACACGTGGGTAACTAATGGAGATATTGTCAGCATTTTTCGTACGACGCGTGTATTAATCGACAAAGAATATTCGTTGAAATGAGAAAATTGGTATTATACAATCCTGGCAACGTTGCTATTGAAATCCTTTTTCAACAGATCTTTGATCTGCCTTATTTCTTAAACCGATTAAGTCCTTTCGTTGTAAACTATGGTTTCGTATTGATCGATGCTTGTACAGTACGTGTGAACAGTCTTTTTTTTCTGTAAAATAGTTCGACAAATATAACCTCGATTATTTCTAGAGCGTAAAAGCTTATTGACAGAGTGGATAGATAATCGTAGCGATATTTTATTACTATCCAGTCCGACGAACAGAATTTACAGCTGGGTCATCGGCCTCCCTTTTACCTCGCGGAATTTTTATGACTGTCTGCTGAAATGAGTTATCCACTAATAAAAACTTCTCGACTGTCAATGTCTTCATAGTGTTCCTATGAAACTGTAACGAAAAAGGCAACGTTTTTTATGTTCATCTTTCATGGTAGAACGCGCCCCATTGTCACGGAACTAAGTAATTACCTATTCTCGTTAGGGGATAATAATTTTGTGGCAAAGTTGACAGAATATTTTCGTGTTGTACAAAATAATTGTGTTGGCAGAATATTTTTATTTCACATTTTGATCTTTCTACATACTAATTTTGTAACAAAATTTTTAATATTTTAATAATATATTAAAAATATATTATTATTATTTATTATTATTTTTTATATTTTCCATTTTTGAAAAATATTTTAATATTTTATCTACTCTATCAATATGAGAAGTGAAAGAACTATGGTAAACAAGCAAGTTCATTCTTTTTAATGAATTTTTCGAGAAAGATCTATGCTATCCATTAGAAATTTCGGATTTTTTAACTTCGAGGGTTTCGAGGCTATGGATAGGTGAAAAAGGAAACAGTGGAACCATTCGTTCGACAAACGGTCGTGAACGCGCACCTTTTCCCTTCTATCGTCCAGTGTTTCTCATTTTTTCTGTTCTCAGTCATTAATCCGTTCGATGAGCGCCGAGGGACGAGAGCTGAGCGAGAAATCGAGTGTCACCAGCAACTAATCACCGGCTCGTTAATTACCCTCCGCCCTTTAATCCGATCGAACGGTTCGATGTCCGGTTAATGCACGTTTTCCCTCCGCGCGGTCCCTCTAACAATTAAAAGGTCCAAAAGGATACGAGTCACGATGATTCGCGACGCGATTTCACGTCATCCCAGATCAAGCTACATTCGTTTCGATCCAGTAACTTAAATTCACTGTTAACACGTTGATCGCCGTGTCGAATTCGACTGACGCGATTCTGTAAGAATTCTATATTCCAAAAATTCATTTCAAAGCTAAATCGAATCATTTGATTGATTCAGTTCATTCAATTCATTCATTCGTCCAACAGTTTCAATATGAAATTAAGAATTGCAGAAAACGTGAAATTTACTGAATTATAAATTAATTTGGAAGTTGATTAATTCTATTAATTTAATTCATCAATGAAAAAGCTTAAGTATCGAATTGAGAATCGTTGGAAATTCGTAATTTACTTAGATCAAAATTCATTGATTGATTACTGCAGACTCATTGATACTTCCTGATTAACTAATTATATTAGTTACATTGTTCCCAATATTTGATATACTTTCTAATTTGATTAATTCAATTGTATCTACGAAGTGTGAGAAGGTTAAATGTCAATCGTTATGGAAAATCTAGATCTGTTTTCTAATGAAAAGTAAAAGTATCTGCTTCATCGAGGAAATCGTTTCGACTGCACAGGATTTTGATGGTAGTTGATTTAGCAGTCAACGTGTTAATTAGCGGTGCTTTGATCTACGCGGGCTCGTCGACGAGCCGGTTATCGTGTCTTGACGCGAAGCAACGTCTCAACGGTGCGACCACTCACGTGCGCCGACTCTTGAGTTCGTTTGATCGTGTCGCGGACATAAACGGTGTCTTCCTCCGTTGTACAGGGTGATTCGCACGAATGGGGTTGTTAGTATTTTATTAACGAGAATAAGTGGAATTGGTTCGGTATCAACGCGACCGTAAAAGGTGTCGGACAATGTTAATTTATTGCTTGTTCTGTGAAACGAGTGTGTACTCAATGAAACGTTCTCAATATTTCACAGTAACTTCAACAAATGTTAATCCCCACGTTCTGTTTATATAACAATTTCCGTCTATATACTTCTGTGTCGCAATGTGAAAATATAAACAACGTTACCTAAACAGGGCAATTTGTGATCAAAGAGTTACGATATCCCTAACGAACCCGACATCCGTTGACAGAAATAAATTCAATCGGATAACGGAGCATGGATTCGAACGGTTGTAACGTAATAAAACTTGATAAAAGAGAAGTATATTTTATAGTAATGGCCATTCCATCGCAAAGCAATGCAAACTACAATAGAACGACAAGAACAAAGCCGCATTATTTATGTACATATAAAAATGAGCAAAAAAGCTTGCTCTAATCCATAAATCCCCTTTATGGTAGACATTCATTGCACACATGCATGAGGAAAATAAAGAAATATTACCGAACGATCGATGGGTATTATCAATTTCTCATCTACAAAGAAAGACGTGATATCACCCCCGTTTTCTAAGAATCGCTCTGTACAATGTTTATCAATTTCCACGCTGAAGAGCGCCTCGTATCTCGGAACATCATCGACGGTGATTTTAACAACCCTCCAAAATTCCCT